GATAAGGAGGTTAAGGCTGTGGGTTAGGGTAATCAGCTGTGAATAAATTTTCTTCAGAATCACTATGTAACCAGTTATTTCAATATGATTAAACGTCGGGCTATTCTATGGGCATCCGGTTGCATGTCTAGGCCAATGCCTAGGAGTCCTGAAGCGCTAAGTTACTATCTGTCAGTCTGGATTCATCCCTTCTTCTCTAATTGACTATATCTTAAAGGCTCCAGTTGCCTACCCATCTGCCTCAATTTCTTTCAAGCTATCTACTTCTTCCTAACATACGTTACTTCCGCTCTACATCTCCAGTCGCATAGCATAAAACTCAGCAAAAGAATTTCTTCATTAAAATAATCATAATGCCGCACGATATAAAGCCCTGTTTGGATTTGCATACGTACATTTTGCAAAAAGACCGTGATATGCAGAGGGATGACAATTGTTCCCTCATGACAATGAATTACAGAACACACACAGCGTTTTAAATGTTGTAAACAACATTCGCACTTCTAATGGAGCCGCATTTGGTCAGGTAGATTACCGAACATAGACTGCTTCCTCTACAAACTGTTGGCAAAGGAAAGAAAATTTTCGAGACTTTCCAAGACATTGTCATTCCTTCGTTTGTCCTTTACTATATGTTGATAATAGACGCTTACCCAAACTGCATTCTAGACGAGTCAAGCCATAGACAGGCAATAAAACCGAAATCAAATTGGGGTATATCTGTCAAACTCCGTATTTCCAAAGTCACTTTCACTCGTAAGGAGTCAATGCATTATCGTTGGCTATTGTTGGAGGACCAACAATTTTGAGGCGATAGTAGAAACATTTCCATTACCATCCATTTAATCACCTATGTGTATTTAAACCCTTCTAGGCCCATTTATCTTTAACCTTAGGTAGACGTAGTAATAAAGAAGAAAACTGGTTTAGAATTTTTCAAAAGTGCTCTCTAGGATTTCATCCCAGTACGAAAGAACTCATAATTTTGAATAGAATTTGCCCCAAGATATGTCTAACTCCTGCCTCCTGTGCAATGTAAGGTAAGAATTCAAGCAATAGAAATTGAGTTTACGATTTCTTTGAATGTCCGTCCAAACACGAAATACAATGGTAGTTTTTCTTGCAATTCATTAGCACATTTCCCAGATCGTAACAAGCACAATAAGAGCATAGGTAGTACGCTAAAGTTAACACATACAAAGGAGAATTCTGTCAAGCGCATCCAGTGCAAATACAGATGATTGTGTTAGATTTGCAAACCATGGTTCTCCATATTCTCAATCCCACTCATTCTTATCATTATCACCATTGCCAACAGGACTGACGATTTCCGACCAACATCCACTACCTGAGCGTGGATTTGATGAAGTTTATGTTAATGAGTATATAATTAATTAGTTTGCCTTAAATGAATTGATGAATCGACAGACCTAGAGGTACTGCTTACCTACCTATCTGCTTTCTCTTTATCCACCTATTTTCTCGCCAAAAATCCATTAATCTTAATGGTCCGAACTAGCCAGAAATAGAAAAATATCTGTTGACAAGGTAAGTAACAGATACGTTAATGAATTAGCGCACACCTCGAGACCGAATGCAGAGTTAAATCGACCATCTGAAGGAAAGCCATGATAACAGATACAAACAAATAGCGCATAAAATATGCACACCTAGTACAAAGGGCTAAATTTGTAGAGGCAGCTATTTTAGGAAATTTGTGCTATAAACAAAAAATAGCATAAGCTTTTCGAATTTACTTAGGTAAAATACCCGTTAGTCATTTACTCCATCTTTATCGAAAAAAAATGATAAATGTAAAGCTTTTTCTGCATTTTCACCAAATTTTCGTTTTGAATATTCAATGAAACATTTAAATTTATGTCTTTAGGTTTTTCTTTACATCCTCGTTTTCCTACTGACCACTCTCTCTCTTAACCTACCAATACTAAGGAACCCTCAAAGACAAATGATGACCACTAAGAGGAATAAAGATGAAGATTAGGAACCACCTCGTTTTCTTACTTCCTTATCAGGGTGCATAAATCCTAGGTGTCATATTATACACCAGTTTCAAAATCAGTCTAACCATGACACCACAAATACAGCCAAAATAATGTGGCTTTGTTAGCATTGCCGAGGTTGTATTGACCGTGCTCACTTACACCCTCCTTCACAAACAATGATTTGTCACACTCAATAATCACATATCTTAGTATTGGCGCGAAACCTGCAATTTAAACCATATTTGTGTCCTTCCATTTGTCTGTGCATAGCCTTGTCAGCACTTAAGTGAATAGCCCATGATGCTAATTAAAAGTGTTTTCCCAACCAGGCAATGTAGCAGGCAATTTCATTGGGAATATCAGCAGTACAAAAAGAATTGAATTAGTTGGGAATCAAAGCTAAATTTTGACTTCACCAATCCACCTACCGTTACGGTTTCATGGAGTGATCTATGATGTTACCTTGCGTCAAGCGGATGTCTAGCAATCCGTCCAGCCATTAATTAAACATTCTTTGGGTTGCCAATTGCGTAGCCTTTGCACCCCAGCCCAGTTACTCAAAGAATATCCGAAAATTGGCTGAATTCAATGGAGAGATGCCAGTGGAAAGTAGGCTAGATTATTAGTGCAACTATTTTATCTGAGTGGATGGGTTACTCTCAGCTACCTTTTCTTATTATCCATCACAATGAGTGTATATTTAATTGTACACCTCAATGTAACATAGTGGAGGCAAAAACGCGCTGGTGATGAGTGAACAAAAAGTGTTTTATTTTGTGGAACATGCACACATTATAGAGGTGCCATTGAAGACTCACAGGCATAGCTTCAGGTCGCTACCCGATAATAAGCCGATACATGATCCGGTGAATGGTCCATTTGTGTTAAAAGAAGTCCGTTTGGTCGGTGGGTAGACAAAAAACAAGAATGAACTTTCAGGATGTAAACATCTGCTTCCTCTGTCCTGACAAGGAGGAAAACAACGCGACTTTATAATTTACTGTAAATGCAATGTTTCAACAAAGTGAAAAATAAGATTGGCGATCGATGGTACTTGGAAAGTGATGTCACTTTGCCGATGACGATGGTTTACGCCGTTGAGGAGGGGAGACCGGACTCATCCTTTTTCGAACTGAGAAATGAGGAAATGGGAAATTGCATTAATTATCAGTGAATGCCGTTTGCCACCTGCTGATCTCTTCTATCACGGTACCAACTGGATTGGCAATACTAGCTCAAAAGTTATAAATGCATGCTTCTACTACCGAGCTAAACAAGCGCACATCAAAGTGATTGTTTACTGTGACCTAGCCACATATAATCAAGGGCTTGAACCTGCAGTTATTCTAACGAAATGGAGTATATCAAGTTCCGTGTAGCTTTGGATGTATGCCTAACAAAAGTGGATGCAAATATTTTAAATCGATATGTTTACCACTAAAAAGTAAAGCGAATGAGCAGGAAAGTCAACACGAGTACAATACAGTGCAAACATAAAAAAATCACTTGTAAGGTTAATATCGGGGAGCAAAAATATAAGTGCGCATTTTAAGGATGCCACATTTTGCCAATTTTCGCCGATTCATGAGACCAACATCATCCATCCTGTCCTTTTGGTTAGCACACCTGCGTGAGGTGGTCGAGGTTGAGGAAGATGTAATCTTAGAGTCGGGGGTGAATGCAGATGTAAATGCAGAGACAGCTGTGGAGGTGGAACTCATTGAATCCCAATCGACGCCAGCTGTTTCAGTCAAAACGGGTTGAGCATCGTTAGCTCGGAATAAAAAAGAACGCGAGGAAAAAAGAAGCTGTAATTAAACAGCAAAAATTCCATAGCCAGCAGGGAAATCAGGGTTTTGTGGATTTCAATGAATAAAATATGCACCAGGTAGACAATTCACAACTAGCAAGGAGCAAAGTAAGCACAGTGTATGCATGAGCAATTTCCAATTTCCAATGAACTATTCTGCACATAACTTGGTTATGAAAACTAAAGTGCAAAGGAGAGAATGAAAGAAAGGCGAACCGAAGGAAGGTGAAAGATGGTAACAGTGAAATATTAACTTACGTGTTTTGTCGCTTTCCTCTTTCCCCAAAATTGCCCCATCTCTTACCTGTTCAAAAGCAGCAACATAAAATTTGACCTTGGATTTCTCTTCAAATATCAATTTCATGTTATCCCAGATTCGTCCCATGTTCTGCGCATACTGATACGATTGGCTGAGTGTTTTTTGTCAACGCTAATCGCGTGATTTGACAGCATGCCTCTAGAAGCATTTGAAGCAAGACATCTCAGGAGTCAAGAATCTTGACTTCTCTCGTGGTGTTGATTGGAAAGAGGTGATTTCTTGCACGGTACGGCAACCTTATCTTCTCTCTCAACTGACACTTCGCAAGGCCTCAAATGACTTTGTGGGGGATCGGCGTGATCCCATGCTTCTTGAGGCTGTATACGGCAAGGAAATGTCCCTAATGAACCGTAGACTTCATTGTAAACTCGATAAAGACGGCATTTGCCAGTTGATGACGGTGCCACCGAATTCTGTGGAGTTAGCTAAAGCCGTATTCACACCTAACAAAATTGAGGAGCTCTTTGCAAACTCCGATTTCACCAATCCTATTCTTCTGCCCCATGATAGTGTTTGTGGGACACCTGCAGTCAGTCATGTTGACGAGTTGCCTACACTCCTTGGGAAGAATAAATAGAAGTTTGCTCACACCATTTCCATAGGTTAATGGGATGGCATCCTCATTCTGATGATCCTCTACTTCCCACTCGGTGACTCTTCCTGATATTATTGGTTATACTTTCTCTACATAAACCCACTGACCGTAGCCTACCTGTATATAGATTATTTTGTACAAAATGCCTTCATCGCATCATTGTATTATGCTTTCTCGCATATATTTCATGAAAAGGATTCAAAAATGCTGTCCAATTAATGGACACATAGGTTTCGCCACCTTGGTGAGCAATGCACGATTACTGGTAAATTGTCTTTCGAGCCATTTATGGCATTAGCGGTGGGGATAGGCAAATGTCTACAGCTCCCATTGGTGTTTTTCACAACGTCAGCTGGAGATGTCGCTTCTCTCACTCCTTTCTTCCTTCGTTCTACCTTTCCCATTGCATAATTGATTCAGATACTACTAGCTGCTATTTCCTTCAAAATTTCATCTATGTTATTTCTGTAATGTATAACACTTGGTCCTGCTTCTCTAATATGGATTAGCTCTAACCAGCAAGCAGGCTTAGCTTTGTTCTAGGGTACTCACAGTGGTGCTAAGCACTTCATCTGATACGCAACTTGCCTGTCCTAAATTTTACTTTCTCCCTCACATAAAGCGAGACCAACGATTCATTTTCTTTTCACACCTACCTATACCTTGAGAATGAAGGTAGCCCATGAAGTGTCTTCATGAAATCGAGAACATCAATTCCCATCCGAAATATGGTCTGCAATGCACGAATTTGTGCATACGTGAAATGTCCACCCTTTGACTTTATCAAACCCTCACATCTCCTTCCAGTGGCGTCCACTTTTTGAGAGACGAACTTCCCCTGAGGAACTGTATGCGTACAGGCATATTTGCAAAATTAACAATTAAAGGACAAGCCGCAGATGTACAAAACGCCGAAATCGTTGCGAAAAAAGACTGCTATCTTAAATTTGCTAGCACTATATATAACATGACATAGGGGTCATTTGATTCAGTACTTAACCATAGAATAACAATGATTTTGGAAGTTAAACTGAGCTACTTGCCTTCGTAAAGGTTCTTTTAAAGTAGAAGTCAGCGTCGGAATTTACAAAGGAATCGCGCTGGCACTATCGGTAACACTCAGCATTTCGTTCAATGGGTATGAGTATATACTGGCTTTAAAAAAGGGAGGAGAAGACAAATAAAGTAGGTTTTATGCTCCAGAACAGCTACTTTGGTAGACAAACTGCCTATACCCTAAAGAAGTTTGCCCAAGATATGTCAAGGCAAAATTCAATTGTCGGGTCGAAAATCGATTTGCGGCTTCACTCAATTCGGATGAATGGCACGTAAGATGCTATAAGCCATTGGTTGAGGGCAGGCAGTATAATTCCTACTTTTGCCTTGATACGAACAATGGAGTATCATGTTGGTGTGCATTTGACAGAGCGAGTTTGTCCAGTCGTAATTTACGCTCATTTTGGAAATGTCAAGCATAATCCGGCTGGTGGAAATATGTTTTAAGTGCTTTATTATGCGCATCCATCAGTCGTCAAAGTATTTTTTATTATTTATTATGCTATTATTTGTGGTAAATTTAGTGTCTTTATTTATCAACAGTTCATCTATTCGACTCAAAAAAGAGAAGCAATAAAAGTACAGGCATTAAAATATATGGACCAGCGCTGGTGCTGTAGTTAATGGTGATGCAAGCAATGTCACGATGAGTTTGTTCCGTTTCACCTTCCATTGCTATGATATCAGGGTGTAATAGTAAGTGTAGCTTGTTAAATCTAATGACAGCCAACTAAAAAATTTTGATAATTATACCGCTTTATTTCATTACTGATTGCTGCTTTCATCTCTCGTTAGCACTCAGGTACCTTAACCTTTGCTCCTGCCAGGATTTTTCTTAATTTAGCCTCCGAAATACTAACAAAGACACTCTAGGAACTTCTAGACAGTGTGTCTAAATGCGCATTTTTTACGCCTAGAGAGCCAAACGGACAGGATCATGCCTGATATGATTTGTGCAGCACCATCTTGTGCAAGTAAAGTGAACTGAGTGGGAGCGTATTTCTTGCCCCCTAATTTTCAGTGGCGAAGTAAAATCAAAGTTTGTTATGATGAAAAGTTTTTACCAAAATTCTGGTTTTAGTCAACCCTAACGCAACTTTTAAGTCCTAAGGTGAAAAATAGTAAAATCGCTATCCCAATCGTAATGCTAGATTTAGAATGTATGGGTGTAGAATACCCTTCCATATTTGATTGGGTTCCCTTGCGCGAAATTCCCATTCGGCGGCTTGCGGTTTTCTGCAATCGTGAATCAAATCTGACAAAAGCAGCTTAGCGTTGACACTAAGTCCCCATTTAAATATGCCATCGGTAAGATTGTATCATTTGACGTTTATTTGTGATTTCCCCCTGATCGCTGATAGGAATATCAGCTTAGGTTATTTATATGTTTTGCGTATTGGAAGACGAAAACCACAAATTTTGCAGTTGTCTCGTGTAGTACACTTGTCTGCTCATTAATGTTAAGCTAAAGAATGCTTTAGTTCTAGATTCATTTCGCCTACTTGATGCCGTCTACCGGGGCGAGTAAATTGCCATTGTATTTTAAACGAAACATTCGATATCTGGGGCAAAAACAGACTTTTCGTTGCAAGAGAAGTAGATCTCAAATGTCCTTCCATTCTTCCCTCTTTAATTAAGCAAATTAAAGGGAAGTAGTTGTTGTTGGCGCTGTGAAGAGGAATCCATTACCAAAACCCTAATCTACCAAGGCTGAATAATCCTAGTTTGTTGGTGCATCAGCCAACCACGATAATTTTTCGGCTAAGCGGTAATAAACTGCCATAGTGAAGGCACCAAATCAAGGACATTTATCTTGTGCATCTACCAGCTGTAAATGACAAATCGGTGTGTGACTGGGACGGGGTTAGCAATAGCACCCATGCTTAGCTAACCGGCCGGATATTAAAAAAATTAGCAGGTTGGTCAATTCATAATGCTATTAATCCATCCGCGATTCCTAAGTGATTTTAGTTTAAAGGTTTAATTATCGACAAAATTGCTATTGCTTAGGCCGCAGAGAAAGATGTTCTTATTATAGCCAACGGATTTCGACACCAGCTATAGTGAGCAACGTTATGGTCACTTAAATTTGGTGCAAATTAATCCGCAGCTCAAAGGCTCCTCTTTCATTCCATCCTTTTCTGCTGATCATATTGAGGTTGTTCGTTGTGTATTGTATATGAATTCTTCCGCCCATGATTGTGTAATCAGTACAGAGTAGTATAATTTCGAACAAATTGGACATTGTGCCAACCGTTAAAAAGCCCTGATGGGCATGTCCTTGGCTCGTTATTTGTCGTGAGTTGTCAAAAATACACTGTCTGCCTCATACAAAATGACATTCTATCCTATTAAGACTTCCCTTTTTTTACAAATTAATTTAACAGCTTTCTTAGTGCGCGTAATCTATTTTCATGTCCTATGACGCTCTAGGCACAATGCGTGAGAGGCTAATGTGAGTATGAAGACGGAGATCTTGTTACCAAGACAGTGTTGTAGTGCCATCTGGCATGACGTCCTCTCAAATTCACAAAAGGGCAACGAGTGATTTTTAGTCACATCACAGATGTCTGTGTGTTTTGTAAGGTCAAAGGATGCAATTGATGGGATGTAATTAAGCCCCTAGATCATTTGAGTTTACTTGACAGCCAAACGGCATGCCGTACTACCACCAAATTTAAAATAGTGCTTAGGGCCAGATTGCTGACACAACCAAAATGTTACATTCTAAAACCATATGGGCAAATTAATGTGCATAAATTCATCTTTTAAATTTAAATTCTTGTACTAGAATCTAGGCAGTATTACTAAACGAAGTCAGACCAACATATGGAGGAGTGTGATACTTGTGGCATTTCACGCGAATATGCCTATCGTTGCATCTTTAACAATTCCACTTTGGCATTACCGTTCAAGTAATTATTAAGAAGCTTTAAATCGGAACGGATGGAATTCAGAGAAATTAAGGGTGAGTCATGACACCTCTTCCCTTATTCCCTTGGTAACGTCTCTTCTGCTTTCTATTTCCCCCCCCCCCCCTTTATTTGCTTGCATCATCCCAGCTATTGTCTCAGATGGAAGCGTTTTTGAATGGACATGTCAAGAGAAGTCTGTGTGCCCACAGCAGGCGCGCCAACCTCACGTCATTCGAATACATAGTTATTCCAACTCTTTCCGTAATCCATGGTTACAGCGGTTGCATGGGCAGATAGGTAGATAAAGGAATGAATGAACAGATGAACAGACAAAAGAAGTAACCTAATGATAACGCAGTACCTTATCATAAAAACTGTTCTTATTTGGCCCACCCTGTACATAGCATCATTTCATATTCGCACATTTCATTCCCTATTGTTCCCTGCCTTTCCCATTCCTTTCTTCCTCTTTGTTTACTTCTTTTCCCTTTTTAGCTGAACATTTATTGTTCTTCGCTTCCCCCGGTGAGGTCGAATTACCCATACCCTCCACTATAGTGAGGGGCAGGAATTTATGCAAGCACAGGATTAGAGAGATTTACCAAAAAACTAACATTTGCCAATCTCATAGCAATCAATTATCTTGACGGATCTTCTTACTGCATTTTACAAACGTGAAATCAGCAGCAGATGTACTCAATCACGTTTATTTGCTGTGCCATTTGCTCATTGTAGAAGCACGGTAATAAGCCAAGCTACGTTGGGCTAGATTAGGCTTAACTAGGTTGCATTAGACTAAGCTATTTGCTATATCATTTATACTTTGTAGCTGCTTTCATGCCCCATCATTCAAGTGCTACTTCATTTGCCACTTCGAATAGGGCTAGAAAGATTTTGGGGTAAAATGAGGTTTTCCCACTTTGTCGCGCAGATATTAGCATACAGTGCAAACTGGTAGGGCCAAGTGATATGTTCGGACAGATGAAGGCGGCAAAATCCTCCTGTCTCCTCTTTCGTACGCAAATTCCAGTCCAATGCCACTTCTGTGAGTATCTCATTCTTCTCTTACTGCATTGCGTCTCACGTTATGCATCACCACACCTCATCCTGCATCATGTCTCGACAGCACCTAACAGATTTTGATAACCAGATGCATTCTCATGCACTTATCTCCCTAAGTTGCACTTCAATGAGGCCAGGACTCCTTTCTCTCCCACCTCCGGTTTGTTTTCTCATCTTGACATCCTCCAAAGCCAAATTTACTTCTCCCCTATCTCCTCCTCCTCCTCCTTTTGCGTCATTCTTCCCCAATGTCATTTTGGTGAATTCGACCCATTTTTTGTTGCATGTGTCCGCATCCCCCTTATCCACTTGCCAGACTAGACACAGATTAGACTACTCTACACCTTACTAATGACTATACTTTATCACTCATCGCCTACTGCCTCTCATTGCAACGGAATTTAGGTTTTCCATTCCTTTCCTCTGCTTTAGCTCATCCTAGACCCCACTTATTTCGTCCTTCCTCCCAATATACTCTTGGGAGGGAAGGTGGGTACCTCGATACATTGATAGTTTGCAAATCGTTCTATAGCCGAGCGAATGCCTACTCAATTGCCTATGTCTATCCTTTGTCCTATTAGACAGTCTATAAAACTGGTCCATCACATAAACTGGTAAGAATGCGCACCTCCCTCCCAGTCATTAGTCTAAGGTTGCTTTGTTTGTGTGTGCACGAGTGGGTAACTCGTTGACATTGTGCATTGAACCCCCTTCACTATAATTGCTTGCTTCATTATTGAGGTAAATATTTTTCCCTTTAGACAGTCGGACCAAGTGGCACATCACAGAAACGAGTACGAATGCATGCCTCCTCTGTTAGTTGTTGAATGTTATTCTAGGATCTTTTTGTGTAGC